CTGTCCATCATCGTATAAAGCCCGCCCTGACAATTTGATTGGCCCGCCAGATATTGTGCTAGCATACTCGCGCAACTATTGAGCAATGCCAGACCGAACTTCCCGACCTCAAACGTTGTGGGCGGGACTAAGTTCGGAATGGCACCAAGGCTAGCTATGGTGGTCTATTTTGATGGAAATGTCCCAGTGGTACCTTCAGAGAGCCCAGCAGAACCGAATCCCTCAACAGACTGAAGGATGTTAGGAAGAAGAATGGATCAGGATTTTTTTTAAGGAGGATTAGGTTCAACGGATTCTTGTCTTAGTTTTCCATGCACATCTTGTAGATTCCGGTTTGGTTTCTGTTAAACGTTTAATGACAAACATCTGAAGATGGTTTTACCTCATTTTAGACAACAGTCATGCTGATCCATTTTGCCCTGGCCCTTAACATAAACCATTAAAAATGAAAGAGAATTGCTCTTTTGATTTCTATCTTCATAAATAGAAAAAAATGGCACACATGATATGCAATTTATTTATTACACAAAGAACTCGCTTTTCTGCCTTAAAGGGACACATATATAAACATAGGAGTGATTTTATAGACTTGTGTGAAGTGTGATTGAATAATTAGTACCTTATTTTTAAGCTTTTGCGATGAATCCACATTAATATGCAAACCTACTTCTTTCTTCTGTCGATTCCTGGAGGTCTGATCTGCTGAGCCTATTCTAAAAACATAAGTACTGGTTCTGGATGCTCAAGTGTTTATTCTGATGGCCTTCTGCTTCTTTTTTGGATTTTTCTGCATTAATGCTGACATCGGAAATGGTCCATCCGATCATACCAGGGTCCGTCCCATGTGTGTAAATGTGGTCTGGGAGTAATCCCTGCACTGAGTGATGCAGATCGTTCTGGATGTAGAGCCAAACAAGGACAATGGAGCAGATATGAAGACCTTGTGATGTCATGCATCTGATCAGGTTCCTCCCAGGATCCAAACATGTCCTGGTTAACGAAACCTTGAGTAAACTGGGACCTGATGACCTGAAAGTGAGAGGGGAGATACCCGCCAATAGGTGTGCATGCGTTGATAACATTTCAGCCAAGATATGACACTGGATTATTGCTTTCATTTTTTGTTGTCTTCCACTCGTTCCCATTTACTGGGGGTTAATAAAACACATTTAGGTGCATTACCGCCACCAGCTGGTGTAACAACCTCATTAGGTTGTTTATTTATACTTCAGTCTTTTGTATTTTGCAAAGTTGTAACTTTGTTAGTTGTTTATGTAACTTCTTAAAGGAGAAGTCCGGTAAGAAAGGAATAATCAGTAAATCATTAACTATACCTAAAACTAATATGTTTGCAGTGATTTAATAAATTTAGCATTAATCAGTAAAAAAAATTAAATATTTTAAAAAATACA